CCCCCCCCAGTTCAATGTTGTGAACAACGCCGAAACAACTTTTGGTAATATACCATGATACAAGCTCAACATTGAGTTGGGGGAGCTTGGTTTAAGGATGGCAACATGATTCAACATGGAGTTTATCATAAAAATACGCGAATTTTCTATAGGGGGAAAATAGTCTCAACCAGTTATGTCTAAGATTGTGGCTACGGGTCTGCCGGACGTTATGACGAATCGTTTTAGTCGACGATGGGGTCAGATGACGTTTACTTCATGTGTGTGAAATATCATAAACTTCGAAACGAAATCGCGGCCCATAAATTAATCAGCAGTATGCAGTGGCCTGATTTCACGACGGATATTAGAATGAAATGAATGAATGAATAAATAACAATATTTAATGAGGATGGACACCAATCTAACAGTGAAAGGTTAATGAGGGTGGTCCTTAAACAAATGAGAGGTCACTATTCTGAAACTGAAACTCCGTGAGTCACAACGCTGTCCGATTTTTCATCGACGTCGGCTAGCTAGCTTCGGCCGTACAACCGTCGGAACAAGCGCCTTTCACCTTTGAGATCGTGGGCTCAATTCTCGCTGTGGATTCATGACATTTATGCGAAAGAGTCACTCAACGGAGTCAGCGCTTTACCAAGTCCTCCGGTACACCGGTTTCTTCCCACAAGAAACATTAACAGGGTCATGGGTTGGGATTAGCCCCTAACTGTCTCTTCAACCGTAGCGCTGTGTTTCATGATTAGACATGAGTCATAAGATGGCTGCCACTGAGGCGGCCTTCAACCAGTGATCAGGTTGAGTTGCGTTCTTCCCAATTCAGCTTAGCCGCTCTCTGTTGCAAGTTAGCACACCGCTTCTAACCGCACGATTGCGTCCCCATTTTAGACAGTAGCTTATTGCCGCTTTTCTCGCTGTAGATCATTTATCGCAGCTTGTTCTCCACGAGTCATCTAACATTTCATTCCTTTTTCTTACAGCTGCCGAGTTAAAGGAAACACATTCTACATAGCCTTTCTGGTACCAACATTAGCCGTGATGTTATTTAATGTGATTATATTTCTTCTGGTCGTCAAAGCGTTGCTAAGTACACGCGTCCCAGGCAACCGACACAAGCAAGGCATCGTCCACTTCCGTCGCGTGTTAGGGATCGCGGTTGTCTTTGGAATCACGTGGCTGTTTGGCATCCTAGCTATTGGAGAACTAAAACTCATCTTCCAATATTTATTCTGTATAACCAATGCCTTTCAGGGCTTTATTATATTTATATTATACTGTCTCACTGACAGGAAAGTTCGAGAAAGACTTGTGAGGTTTCTATGTGCGTTACCAGACCCGAACAGAAATAATCGTATCATAGATTCAACCTCAACTCAACAGCAGACTGATATTGACATAAACTTGGAAATGTTTGAAGAGAGGACTCTATCCTCTAGGCCTCGAAACTGGTCTGGAACATGGCCAATGTCAGGACATTCGAATCTTACACGGATAATACCCGAAGAGGCCAAAGATCCTGTTGTTCTCTACCCTCCTCCGGCTGGCTCAAGTTATAATTATCCGCATATGATGGGTTCAAGTTATAACTCACGTATGGTAGGGTCAAGTTATAACAAAAATATGCTGGAATCAAGTTTTGATTCGAACCTTGCCGGCTCACGATATCTCTCGCATCCAGTAGACCCAGGTTATGACCTAAATCCTGAATGGGAATATGAGCTTGATACGTTTGACCAGCCTTACACTCATCGTAATCCCCCTGGCAGTCGGCCTGTGACCCACGTACATTTACAAGGAGAAGCAAGCGGTGATAAGTTAGTAGATTCGACGTTATCACAGCTGGAACGAAGTGGAGGGGAGGCGTCTTTGCAAAGTGTTAATTCAATTTTATTCTTCGACGAAGGGCGAAGAGTTGAGGTGCCCAAATACCCTGAGTTGTCAGGCAATAATAATAATTGGGAACGACCAAGAATGGGGCCATTGGATGATTCGAGAAGACGTGAACATAGTTCGGAAGGACCTCGAAGATACACTCAAGGCGGAGATGGGTTAAGTTTCTATAAAACACCTAAAAAACAAAGGCATAGCTCTGCTACGACATCTGATGAATTGAGCAAAAGGATTATTTATCCGAAGGGGAAATCATTGCGGGACAAATTAAAAGGTGTCCATTTCTCAGCGGATGAGCTTGCAAATTCGCCTAAAGAATCTGAGCGTTGGAGCGAGATGCCCGCTTTCCCTAGATTAAAAACTCATTCTCGCCCAGAAGACATTTCCGAGACCGACGAATTTGATGGCGAGCCTGGCATGCGTATGTCACGTGTTGAACACGAGCCTGGCATGAGTATGTCACGCCTTGAACACGAGTCTGGCATGGGTATGTCACGTGTTAAACACGCGCCACGTCGAACGAAAAGTGCGCAGCCATCGACTCATGTGATAGATTATAATTTAGAGCAACAGTACTTGAGAAATTGTGGTGAAGATTTAGGTAAGTGGATTATGATTTGCTGACTAGATAAAGGGGCACTCAATATCTATATCTGAGAGTCGATTCTGAGTAAAAATATATTTGTATTTAACTTTTTATAGTTACATTTTTTGTTTTAAATTTCATTTTAGAACACGAGGAGCATGTTTCGTCGAACTTCATTGCTGCCTCAGAATCAAAGAATTCCAGGAAGATGAGAACAATCGTTCGTCCCGTAAAGGAAGTTCCTGTCGAAAGTGAATATGACGTCAGTCACTCTCGCCAAAGTTCAGGGTCGAGTGGTTCTGAGACCTCACCAGATACTAGGTGGAGTGAAGTTGGACGTAAGCCTGAGCTTATATCTTATAGTCAGTCATTTTCTGATTTAGATAGTGATGATGCTTTTGGTGACGCTGATAGGACTCATTTCACGCAATTTTAATGCACTAACAAAATAACCAGCCGTGAAGCCATTTTAAACGATTGTACGCTACGTTTCGGTACGATTGATGTGGAAAACTGGCATTAAACTGCAATTGTACAATGGACAACTTGCATGTTAGACTAAATTTTAATCTAAGTAAAGAGAAGGGAATAAAACACAACAGTTAAGAAGAAAATAACGAAGTTAGTAAAATTGCAAAATTCAGGGTTGCGAAATGTTGTAAAATGCAGAAAATATAGCTTTGCGAAGTTTGCATATTTTCAGTATATTTGTATTACGTGCGGAAATTGTTACCATTTTCGGCTCAAAAATGGTAACAATTTCCGCACGTAATACAAAAACTGAAATTATGAAAATATGAAAATTATTGAAAATATGCAAACTTCGCAAGGCTATATTTTCAGTATTTTACAACATTTCGCAACCAAGTTCTGCAGTTTTACTGATTTCATAAGTTCTTTACGGGAATTTACTTTGCTTAAATAAAAAATTAGTCTAACATGCGTCATGCAAGATGTGAAAATGTGACCAAGAAGGTTGAGAAGGGTCAAGTATCTGTCTGCCAAACTCCCAAAACGGCCGAAAGTTTCAATAGTATGGACAGTGACCATTTTCTTGGTCGATTAGATTTTAATAATTATATTAATCCGTCAAATATTTTTAAAAGTAATGATTGGCGCAAAGGCTGTTGACGCAGACTAAATGGTCCTTTGTATTTTAAATAATTTCAGCTGGAACTGAACTTGTTCATCTGTGTGCCATTACATTTAATTAATGAACTGATAAATCGTATATTTTTGTATTTATGTATCTATTTAATTTCAACAAATTTTGGTACGATTTTGAACAGATAAGCGATCATAGCGTTTAAACGGATGGGTGGAAATATTTATTTTTCGACATGTTTTTACATTTATAATATCAATAAACGTATTCCAATTTAATGAATATAGCGTGTAGTTTGTGTGTCCCCCTGTTTCCTATACGCCCCTGATGCCACTTATATGCTTATATGACCCACGCAACGGGTCAGAGTAAAAAAGAAAACGGAAGAATGTAATGTGAGGAAAATTTGTTCATAAGCTGTGGAAGCACAGATTTAAATGGCGACCGAAAAGTTATCGTTCTGAGTTTGAAAGCTCAAAAAAAGTGAAATTTAATCATAAAATAAACATTAAAAGAACTAAAATTCGTTTGCAATATTACCAACAATGGCCGTGCCAGGTATATTTGTACTAAATTTACTCACAGACATTGCAAAAGAGGAAATAAATGCCGATTTATGCGTCACCATTTCGGAGTCTTCGCGAGGCGCCATGAAAGTTGGTGCAACTACTTTGGTCTCATCGCTAGTTCTTGGTCCTGTTGGCTTCATAGTTGGCTCAGTCGGTGGTGGGATATGGGCCTATGCTACAAGCTCGGATTTTAAGCCGTTGCACGGCGTACTTTGCGATATGACAGAAGAGGAAAAAGATAAAGTTGTAGCCTTGGCAAGAAATGTTGCAATCGAGAGAGGAATGGAGTTGTCCTTGGCTGGTTTGGTCACAAGTTCGCCTGAGGCAAGGAGCTTTCTCCTCGAGGTCATGAGACGTTTTGGTATGGCTATAAAGAACGGTTAATGGATGTCATATTTGACATTAAACCAGAAAGGTTAGAATGATTTTCGTGTCAAGTTTTTATCCTGATTTTGAAGTTGATTGTCAAGGATTGGTATTACAAATCCAATCTCATGTTGTACGACAATAGCAACACTTGGGTGGATAGGCTCATGTGACGGTGTGTCTAAAGTCTGCCAGACTGCAAATAGTTCTGAAGAAAGCTGCGTATTAATAAGAATATGACTACCTGAAAAATACAAGGAGAACTGCAACGTTTCGAGCAAAGGCCCTTATTAGCCATTCCGAAGTTGATGACAGGACTGGGGATGAGTGTTAAAAAGTGCCCAAATTAAGAAATGAACCAAATCACTAAAAAGACCACCTCAAAATTAGTAAGTATACAAAGTTTGAAGATGTTTACATGAATACCCTTCGAATAATGAACCCTATGAAATGTACCGTAATTTTTGTTTTGGGGACGTGCGTCCCCAAAACAGTCTTTTAATCAGTAATTTCACAATTTTTGAAAGCTTATTATTCAAAGGGTATGCATGTAAATATCTTCAAACTTTGTATACTTACTAATTTTGAGGTGATCTTTTTAGTGATTTGGTTCATTTCGTAATTTGGGCAATTGTCCCCAGTCCACTCATCAACTTTGGAATGGCTAATTAAATTTAAAACAAAGGGCATTTGCATAAACGTCAGTTAACATGAAGCTCTAGGAGGAGGATCTGTGACTGGTTGACTATGACAATTCTATTTCAGAACCATCCTCAGAGATACTAAAAACTGCTCGAGCCAATGAATTTTTCGTTGGTCGATTGCACTGTCAGAATAATATGAAACTATGACAATGACAAAAGACGTAATTGGCTCACATAAACAAAAGGAATATTGTTCTTGCTTTGTTCTTTAGAAAATCCATTCTATAGCTTATTCTTTTGTCATTGTCATAATCAACCAATCTTTGTGCCAACCCATAAACGTCGACGTACTTCTTGTATTTTCAGGTAGTTGCATCCCTTTCAATCTGCTGCTTTCTTATGATTGGCGCTACTTACAATGGCACAGATTGTTTGTGCGAATATTTCAGACTGGGCGTATTTCTGTGCTGCATATCAGTTGTTGCACAAAAATGAAGACCTCTACTTGGATATTTTAGTGAAAATTTTCCAAATAATTTTGCCAGCAAAACCGTAGTGTAGACCTTTAAAGTGCAGGGTTTTTTTTCGGATTTTCTCTTGGGTCCGTTTTTGCAGAGAAGATTGAGTTTAGCTGAACAGCTGGGGGTCTTGAGGCGGCTGTCTCCCCCCCCCCCCCCCCCCGGGAGGCTGAAACCTGTACCCACTTTAGTGTAGTTGAGATGCAATGTGTTAAAGCAGGGGCACAGAGGGACACTATAAACTGGTTAAAGACGATGAATGCATTGTTTTTCTTGTGTTGTGAAATGAATTCCAGACATTTTTTACTTAAATTTCAGGTTCAGTTCAACTGAAAACTAAATTGCACACATCATGATGAGAAGATTGAGTTTCAAAACTCAATTCAAGATTGAGTTTTTGGGGCCGTTTTACGGCCCTAAAAAATCCCTGAAAAAATCCTGAAAGTGGCAAACACAATAGGCAATTCCAGCTTTTAGTTTATGCTTGCAGGGGATGATGGGAAGTAAGGTATTATATTGCTGATTATGCTGAAAAAATAAAAATGGTGGCCGTGTAAACACAGAGTGATAACTTATACTTGTAAATATTTAAATATTTCGGTTGTTTCGGCAGTTTTTATTGAAATTTTTCAGCATAATCAGCTATATGATACCTTACTTCCCATCATCCCCTGCACGCATATAAAACTAAAAGCTGGAATTGCCTATTATTTTCATGGGCAGGGTGGTGGATGTTTCCAGCTATAGACTAAATTTTGATCAAGGCAAGAAGAATGAAATCCAACACCACAGCTAGAAAGAGCGTCTTAGAATGAGTAAAACTGCAAAGATTGGTTGTTAAATGTTGTAAAATGAAGAAAATATAGCCCTGTGAAGTTTGCAAATTTTGTGTATATTTTGTATTACGCGCGGGAAAAATAACCACTTTCGGCTCAAAAATGGTTATTTTTCCCGTGTGTAATGCTAATATATACTAAATTTGCAAACTTCACAGGGCTATATTTTCCTCATTTTACAACAATTTGCAACCAAACTTTGCAATTTTACTCATTTAAGATGCTCTTTCCAGCTATGGTAATGGTTTCGTTGTTCTTGTCTTGATCAAAATTTCGTCTGGTTTCATCCATTTATCCAGTTTTCCACAAGATAACGTCAAAGGGTTAACATAGAACCCACGCACTTATAACGTCGATTCAACATTTTGCATGGCAAGATGAATATGGATGAATAGATTTGCAGACAGTTACAGCACGGACTGCTCAGACCTAACTTTGCATTCTGGGAAATGTGTACATGCGTAATTTGATACATGCCTCCATGTTTTTTCTTACAACTTAATTTTGTTATTGCATTTAATGCAAGTCACTTTATGGATATCATTAAATTGGCATGAATGATCGATAAACTTCTTTCTTGGCATCACTTCCACGATGCTTGTCCGCTGGCGACATTCACCGCGGGGATTGTTCATTGATCTCTTGGATAAAATGTGTGTTGAAATGAGAATGAATAAGCCAACAGCAATCACAGATAACATTATCCAGCCACCAATCTAAAATCATCAAGAGGTAAAGGTTAAGAGAATTTCTGAATAACCTGAGATTTTCTGAGTGGGATCCAGAGCCTGGATATTTAGGAGATTATCATGCTTGCTCATTTAAAGGACAATGGCAACAAAAAATTTTATTGTCTCATTTGAAAGAAAGTTTAAGATTATCTATAAAATTTTGTGACAGATTTTTCATATCTTGCTTGACTCTTGAAATATTTTGACTCGTGGTTCAAAACCACACTTTCTTTCAAAAATAGCAAGGTGATGCTAGTATTTTGGTTTTTATGGGTAAACAGGCCCGTAACTAGAATTTTAGATTTATCGAGTCGCGTCATCGGGGCATGCTCCCCCAGAAAATGTTTGATTTTCTAAGGCTTAGAAATGCTATTTGCTGCATTCTGCGAGCAATTTCAACAAAAAATCAGTAATGATAAACAGTGACACAATGACTGTAATTTCATAGTCTTCCTGCATTCTGGGAACAGTTTTACTGAAGAAAAAATCAATCTCATAAACAGTAACACAATGACTATAATTTCATAGTGTGTCTCACAATTTGTGGTAATATTTGGGACGCTAATTCGTACTTCTACCTTTCACCAGAAATTGAATAAATTTCATCCAGGATCGGTTTTCTCTAAACTTGAAGTCTTTCTGTTTTGAATTTTTTCACAAAAAATCTTACCGAGTCAACTGACTCGGTTGACTCATAGCCTGATAAGTATCGAGATTGTTATACCAACTACTTGTTAGGTTTAAAAATTGTATATAATATTGTCCCATAAATGAGCTTCAAAAACCGTTTTGATTGGTCGACAGCCTGCCGGAATGATTTGATACCCACCTGCTAGATTTGATACCAACCTGCGATAAGCAATCTCATTGGCTAATGACAGTTTTATTTGGCGTAATTTTTACTCAAAATTTCTGGAAATTTTGACCAGAGTTCAAAGTTCAAAGTTCATGAGATTCAAAATGGCGTCAGTGTATATTTGTCAATAGAGAAGTTTAGCAAAGACGACGCGACGTCAAAGACGACGTGAAAATGGCGTAAAAATGGCGTGATATGCCCATCTATGGATGTGCCCACGCCATTTTTACGCCATTTTAACGTCGTCTTTGACGTCGCGTCGTCTTTGCTAAACCTCTCTAATAAAACAACACGAGTGACTTTAAATCAAGATGAACCCCTTCGGTAAGATAATAGAACAGTTTATATATTTTGTAAAGTCTTGTTTATGGGACATTAAATCCATTGGATATCGATTTTCCATTGGATATCAATTGCGGTTTACCTCAAAATCATGTCGTAACTTATACTTTCATTCGAAAATATCCCACCTGGCCCTAGATTATTTTACCTTGAGATAAAATGTGATCCATCGTCTAGCATGGCCATTACAGCTTTTATTCCGCAATCGACATTTGATGATATTCAAATTTTCCCCGCTCCTGTTCAATGGCTTCGTTGGCAAATCACCTGTACTCCCTTTCAGCGAGGAAAGTCCTGCCAACCGGTCATCAAGACCGCGATTATTTAACGGTTTTATAATGGAATCCGTTTTATTGATGTTAGTTCTGGCTTCGGTTAGAAAAGCAGTTTTAATAACCAAAGAAAACAAGGCGGACATTAATAAGTTTTCACAAAGGCGAATGATCTTCATAATTCATATTAATGTTATCATTTTCATATTGTACAACTAATTTTTTAAGTCACTCGGACAAAACATATTCCGCTACAGTTTTCGTAGTAATATTCGACTAAGTTTCTTCTTTTCATAAAGATTGTTAGGCTATCTCGCGTTATTGCCTAAATATACACATCCTGTGTAAAATCCCATCGTTTTAATTTCAATAACATTTTTAATCACCTTGGATATGATTTAGCAACGTAGGTTAAGTAATCTATATACTTCAAACGCCAGCGATTGGCCAGCAAGCGGAACAGATTCCCAAAACATATTTAAACATGTTGACACTATAATTAATATCGTCAGATGCAGATGCTTTAATAGTGATAAATAATATATATAACATATTCTTGTCTGGGATGTATATTCAAATGAGGTAATATTTGAGCAGATATTGTAGTAACAATTAATACCCGCCTCCTCCCTGTGTGTGATGCTGTGGAACAGTAAGGGGCGGACCATTAGAAAAGTGATGGGGGGAGGGGGGGGAGGGAGCAAAAATAAAAATCGCGCAGGGGAAACAGAAAGAAAAAAAATTCGTGCACCAAAAAAGTTTGAAAAACAAATTCGTGCAGAGACTTTTCATGCAATAGAGAAAATTATAAGTTGAAATAAAAAAACTTCGTGCAGAGACTTTTCAATAGGGAAAATTATAAGTTGAAATAAAAAAAAATTCATGCAGAGACTTTTCAATAGGGAAAATTATAAGTTGAAATATAAAAAAATTCGTGCAGAGACTTTTCAATAGGGAAAATTATAAGTTGAAATATAAAAAAATTCGTGCAGAGACTTTTCAATAGGGAAAATTATAAGTTGAAATAAAAAAAAATTCATGCAGAGACTTTTCAATAGGGAAAATTATAAGTTGAAATATAAAAAAATTCGTGCAGAGACTTTTCAATAGGGAAAATTATAAGTTGAAATATAAAAAAATTCGTGCAGAGACTTTTCAATAGGGAAAATTATAAGTTGAAATATAAAAAAATTCGTGCAGAGACTTTTCAATAGGAAAAATCATAAGTTGAGTTAAGTCGTGCATACAAGAGATACTCTGCACATCGAGCTTGGAATTTTTATTTGAACCATTGCCTTTGCACTTTCCATATACCTTCATATCCGTGTCCACCGTTTCTTCCACGTTGCGAGTCATACATTACCCTTTTTCTGTTCTCTGAGCTACATTTGATGTTGCGACATTTGGTTAAAAGTGAATCAAGGGTCCTCACTGGGCGTTTACAGAGACAAGTGTAGCACTGATAGAGCTGTCCAGCATAATATAACGTGCAGACCATGCATTTTATCATCAGTGCCTGCGGAAGATTATGAGAGGATGTTCTGCATGCGGAAATTTGCTTACCGACAAGATAAGGAAAAGAAGATTTACTTAATTAATATGAACAAGCTGTCGTTGGTAGGGAGGCAACTTCCTGAAAATATATAAGGAGAATTTCGACGTTTCGAGCGAAGGCCGTTCGCCTTGAGTTACCAGACATTGCGAAAGGACATGTTTTCGGAAAGGACAGTGAAACCACAAGAGAAGCTTGTGCACCCATTGTTTAGTACAGTCAGGCTGGAATACTTCTCTAACGCGAAATTATATGATCTGAAAAAATATGCAACGTTCCATATAAGATATACCGTTCGTATACACATCCCTAGAAATTTATAATTACATGCATAATTCTCCACATTTCATTACATACGTCTTTTGTCGTAGATTTTATAATCGTACAGAAACTATTAGCCTTTTCCCAAAAGAGATCACAGTGCATTCTGGGATCGTTTGGAGGGACAAAATATATGGTGACAGGCGTCAAATATGTGAAAGAGTACAAGTATCTGCTATCAAATATCAACTTTTTTTGATGATCAAAAATGAAATATTTCCTTTTTACATTAAACTTTTAATTTAAATGTGTGCTGCCATATTTTTTTGTCCCTCCAACATGGAATTTGCGCGCCTAGACCCAGGACTTTAGGACATGGCTAAGTATATTTGACAAAAAGCGAATGAAGAAATTATAATAGTGTCAACGGCTAAATATCGAAATGATACTTGGTGACATTCGTTTGAAGGGAGCCGTCTTTTAACTGGGTTAATTAATTAGACACAATGTGGACACTTATCAACAGAGATAACATGGGGAAAAGCACTCTAATTCCCGTAGGGCAACTATGTTCCATGTTGTACGGCAACTATTTCCCATGGTTTTAAACTTCTCAACTCAGCAGTGACTATAAAAGGGAGCAAGCCAGCTTATCGCCTGTAATTGCGCCACCTGGTTGTAAATTATTTTTGAAGACTAGTCAATTAAAGGCTTTCTCGGTATCCTGGAGTTTCGAGCCGAGATTTTACCTGGGGGTACTAAACGACATCCTGTATGCAATTATCTTTGCAATTATCTTTTTTACTGTCTCCTTTGGAAACAGTATTACCTGCCATGCAGATTGTGGATTCCTGTTTGGCAACGCAAGTGGGTGGTATAACAGGAAATTGTTAGAGTCAACCCTGTCCACTCCTATTCTAATAATTCCTTAAAAAATTGGCGCGTGCGTAAGTATATATAACATATATAGAATTTGTTAACTTAAAATATAGTCACAACTCTGAGTTTCACGCTAGCTCAATGCGATCTTCAGGCGACAATGAAGAATAAATTAATGGTATTCAGGAGCACTCCTTCTACACTGTAAAATCTGTAAAATTTGATCATTTTTGGTCTCATTAATATTATATATATATATATATATATATATATATATATATATATATATATATATATATATATATATATATATATATATATATATATATATATATATATATT